ACTAAAATCTATACCCTATTCTCAGAGCGCAAGCAGAATTATGTAAACACTATTACAGCACAAATCTGGAAATAAGCCAAATGAAAACCAGCATCGATCAGCTCGAATTAAAGAAAACTGAAACAGAGACGACTGTTGGACTTGATTAGAAATTCAATCTCTGGGCAACCAAACAGAACAAAGGAAACTGAGATATCTTCATATCTAATAGATCGGACGGAATAAAGCCGATTAGTTCCTGGTTAAAGAACTATTTTCGAAAAAAAAACAAAATCAAGTAGAGGATAATCACAGATCTGGTATCGAACTAAGAGAGGAAAAGTACTCAAAACTAATGAAGGAAATTACTGTTACCGCTCAATCGGGATAGTGTCGGATTATAATCGGAGAGACATAGAAGCGGAGGGAAAGGGAGGAGCCACCAGAAATCATCGGAATGGGCGGCATTGGGAAGAAATCGGAATCGCAAAATTTATCTAACTCACTTTTTATTTCTTCCCAAACGGCCCATTCCTACAACTTCTAGCAGTTCCCATCTCCCATTCCCTGTTCTACACCTTTTGAATCTTTGCGAGTTCCGGCTGATTACAGCTAAAACCCTAGATATTTTCATAAAGAAGTGCCCGGCTGCCCTTCTATATAGTAAGCCAGCTAGGCCAAGCGCTTGGACCATTCATGTAATTTGCTTTTTTTTGACCCTGAGAATTCATGTAAATTTGAGGCTTAAGTGGGGCAATCTGTTATGCGGCTTATGTAAAATATTTTGATATATCGAAGAAAAAATTAAAAAATTAGTTAAATTTAAAATCGTTTGGCATCAACCATCTTCCTAAATCTTAACTTAAGAAAGAAGTTGTAAGTTCAATTTTCAATTGCACGAGAAAAACGAAATTTATAATGAAATTTTAAGGAGGTATTGACAGATATCATTAATTATATTTTTGTGTAAATTTTATAATAATTTTTTAGAAACGTAAAAATAAAATTGCCAAATTTTTCCTTCTTCTCTCAAGGGGACAAATTTTTTTCCTTAAAAAATGAAAAAAAAATAGTAAAACAGAAAATCCCCGCACATTTTCCTTCCAATCTAAGAGAAAAACCTCTCTTTTTTTAATCATTCAATAAAAAATCACGTATTTATTATATTGACAACTTTATATTTAAAAAGAACTTACGAAAGGGATCAAGTTTTACTGGTTGGAAAGAACCCAACCTCTAAGGTGAGCCCTTTGGAGCTCGCAAACATCTTGCACTGTTTACATTTTACAGGGAAGATTACAGCAAAGTTTTAAAAAAAATAATTATTTTCAAATCTCAATAATAAATAAGTAGTTGTTATTTACTATCATGAAACTCATCATTATAAGTTGCTCTATTATTATTATAATTTTTTAGTAATTATGTTTTATATTAGAAATTTGATGGTAATTCTTCTTATTTTATATTAATGTTAATTTATGCACGGACAGAGAAATAATTATAAAATACATTCAAAAGACAGAATGAGAAAAAGTCACCGAACCGAACATATGCTTTATGTTGGGCGTGTAAAACGAGTCAAACTTTATGTTGTAATGTCTAATTGCTCACAATGGCCAAGTAAAAAGCAACCAGATTCGAATTCGTGTCATTTCATTGGACTTTTTTAGGTCGTGCCCCTTTTTTTCCCTCAAATTAACTGTAGAAAGTTTGACTCAAGAATGTTAAGATTCCTCTAATTTATTTAAAGAAAATTAAAATTCGATTCTGGATCATTAGTTGCAGTCATATGTGGGTAATTTTTTCTCTTAAATATATATATTCTTCTATTAGAGATAATCATATTCAAATTATTATTAGGTACTAAATGTGAACATATCTCAGAGCAAACTTAATTTTTATATGCTATGAAAAATTAACTCCTTTCATTAAATTTAACTATTGCTTTTTCCCTTTTTCTTTTTTCAGTAGTTTTGCGCAATAACATAAGCAGATGTCAAAATGAGGCCAATGGAAATCAAATCTGTCATACGCTGAGACGGTGCTTCAAGCATCATTGATTTAATGGTTTTTTCTTTGTGCTATCATGACCAACATTTCAGATCAAAAAAAAAAAATCATGACCAACATTTAAATAATACTATAATTGATCCTAGAAAGAATACTATTTAAAAAAATTAATTAATATGTTAACAGAACATTCATGTATGACCTATACATGATCCAACATAACAAAGTTATTAAAACACTAATTTGACAGGTTATTGTTTTTTCTTGTCCTTTTTAACTCAAAATAACGTTAATTTAGGCACAGTAAGGGAAAAAAAATTGGAAGATCCAACACCAAAAACTCTTAACCGAACTAATAAAAAATGAATTTATCGATTCACCAATCTAATTACCAGACTCGAGTTTGAACACTACTAAAGACAAACATGCTCATGGTTTTGCATTTTTTAAGGCCACAAGACCGTGGTTTCTTGTAGGCTCCAAGTTTTCTTATCATTTTTTATTCTTTTACGTTAGCCATGTTAGTGGGGCAGAGAAGAGAAGCTAAACCCATATTAGTAGTAGTTTATCAGGAAGTGCATCTTTATGATGTGAGCCACATAATCCTAGATTTTTACGCAAAATATTTTCATCATAATAAAATTAAACTTTATGTAAGATTGACAATAATTTTTCTTTTTTTTTTTTAAATTAAAAGAGTAGACACTAATGATCTAAGATTACAAGTAAAATCGAACCAGTGTCTTTCCACTTACAAGAAGCTCTTTATGTCATTAGGTTATAAGGCGATTCACAAATTGAAAATAAGTCTAAGATCAACGTCAATTTTACTAATTGATTGGACTTAATACAAACTTTGAAACTAAAATGTGATTCGGTTACTTTATCATGGCCTTTTGTTTGGTGTATTAGATAACCAAAAAAATGCCCCACTAGTTTGTGAGGGATATGGGCCTTGCTATCTTCGCTCCGATGCTTTTCCCTCCTCACTGTTAATATGGGCTCATTTATGTATGCTATTGGGCAAAAAAAAAAAAAACAAACCAATGGGTTGATCTACTAAAAAGAATTAATCCCTCACAACAACATGACGAATTAATATCAACAGTCTATAAAATTATTATTATTTACTTAAAAAATACATAAATAAACTTGAACGGCTAAAATATGATATGAGTTGTTACCAAGAATCACAACTGTGAATTATTATTAAAAGTAGATTTTTTTTCCTATTTTCTTTATTAAAGTTGTAAATTTTTCAGATTATATTTTAATAATTTAAATTTATTGATTTTTTTAAAGTAAAATTAGAATAATTTTGTGAGAATTACAATGCAATTTCAAGGAAAGAAAATAATTACTAGTAAATCCTAATGACAATGAAAGAAAATTATTACCTGCTCTATTGTCTATATTCCTTACTACTTGAAACTTCATATCAATTCTACCAATATTTTTTGGCCAAAAATAATAATATTTTTATAAAGTATTAAATTTGGACCATTAAAATTTGATCCAATAGTAATGAAGTAGGTAGAGGAGGGAAAGGGTAGAGGAGAAAAAGTTGTTTCTCAATATGAGGATACATTTGCCTGCCCAAAAAATTGGAATAAGAAAGAGGATATGAAATGCAACAGGAAAATTAATATAATTCTTTGCTTTTTATTATGTGGAAAGTTCATTATATTGAGGATTATATTATATTGGTTTAAAGGCAAAGCTGTTGATTAGTGACCTAATTCTTTCTTATTTATGCGTGGGATTTGCATTCGTAAGATCATGAGCCGTATTTGAATTTTCAGAATATGTCTTTGTTAAGACCTTCGCAATGATGGACCATTATAATAATTTCATTAATATTATATATATATATATATATATATATAAAGGTGGCTTACGTGCCTCAATCAAATCCTGTACCTACCCACTATTTTTATTTGTCCTATTACTACTCCTTCCGTTCCAAAAATATTATTTTGAAATATTGTTCACACATATTAAAAAATTATAATAATTAAATAACCTAACCTATTAGTATATACACAAGTTGATATTGTACTTGTAACACAAGTTTTTAATGGGAGTTAAGAAAAAGTCCCATATCGAATGGAATTGGATCATATGTAAGAAATTGACAAAAAGAGAAAATGACCTGCATAGATTGAATGGCTTGAGACATTCAATACAGAAAGCCGAAACGTATGAGGTATGTAGTTTTGACTTGGTTGGTGCAAGTCTAACCGTGTGATGATAGCAAGCTGATTGTTTGTCCAATGATAAATCATGACAAAAAGATAAAATTCAACTATTCAACAAATTAAATATATCATCATGAATTTGTGCTTTATTTTTTTTTTTTAGGCTCACAACCTCACACTTGAAAGAGAAATTGTTAAAAGATCAAGTATATATGAATGAGATTTTCCCGGTTCTCTCATACTAGGAAAATGTCCTCTCAATGTTCTAACACCTATATCGAAAATGGACCAAACTGTCTTACGACTTTCGAAACTCAACTTACGTACCACTTTAATGGATGAATAGCTTAACCCATAGAACATGCTATAGTCCCATAGTTGATATCGAGATGCCAAACCTTTTGATCGATGTAAGTTCTTAGAGAAGATTAGCATGTTATTCATAGAGTAATAAACTGTGTTAAAATAAAGTTATAATACTTCCTTCGATTATTATTTTAATTAGAAGAGCTAGTAGAAGAATTTATCTTTGTTGTATCAACATGACGATTGCAGATTCCATTATATTGTGTTATGAAAACAAATTGATTGCACTTCATGTTGTGATGATTAATTTTTAAGAACAAGACTATTAATTCGCATGACTCCTTCAATATTATATTTCATTAACATATGCTGCATCATACCTATTGCTTTAAAAGTTGGATTTGTTCTTCACAAGTTATTGATTCTTTCTATATATATAACAGCTGGTTACACGTCTTAGATTACCCCCTCAAAAGAGAATAGCTATATACAATACAATGTCACACCTTTTTGAGATAAACATATCAGTTTCTTTTTCTCAGAATTAACGAAAAGTAGAAACAGTTATTGGTAATCCCTGAACCTTTAGGGATATATGTATAACCTCTGGCAGCCAACGTTGTTTCAAGAAAAAATATATATATGAACAAATGAACAGAACAAAAGGCACAAATAAGAAAGTAGTAGAAGAAGATTATATATATTACATAGCGTTTAATTCACGAGAAGCAACCAAGACCTTGGAAATCTCATAGATGAGCCTAGCTTCAAACTCATTCATGGAAAATTTTTGTGTGACTTGACGAGCTTTTGGAATCCTCTTTTGTCCAAAAGCATTATCACCAACACCATTAATACTCAAGCTTCCTCCTACTTTCCCAGATAACTTCAGCATAAAGTCAATATAAGCATTCTTTAGCTTATTCAATAGCTTCAATGGCGACTTAACCACCAAACTCAGCTTTGGGATCGCCTTGATCCTCCAATACCTCCTTGATCCTTTCAACCGAATCATCTTCGACATCTTCTTCTTCGCTTTCCCGGCTGGGACACTCCCACCGAGTCGCCGGTAACGCATCAGCCGCCAATTCGCCTTTAGGCCGCCGGAACTTGACCTTGGCAAGAGGGATTCCGTTTCCATGTTTTGCATGGTCAGAGAGAGAGAGAGGATGAATTTTAGTGATGAATGGCTTGGACTTAAGAGGCAGAGATTGTAAAAGTATGACTATAAATAAGGATAATATGGAAGACGCATTGAATTTTCAATTTTCAATAGATGGACTTTTTGTTTAGTGTTACCATGGTAGGAATCGTGGACTTGGATTTTATCTTTTTCTTTTTTTTCTTTTCAAGTATGCCTTATCCTATTGGGTAAAATCAATTACATGGATGATAATAATACTGTATTCTATCAATAATTAAATTTTTGAATAACATTGTACCCTATTCTTTTATGCCTTCTTTTTCTTTTTAGTTATATCAATTTATTAGATACAAAGTTATAAACCTTTTACGTCCTTTCTTTAATTTAACATCTTCTATGTTAAAAATTTTAAATCATGAAACTAAAATAATTAATTAATTATCAACTATAAATAAAAAATTTAAAATTTGTAAAATTATAAAATAAAATACTAATGCGCTATTTTTTTTAAAAAAAAAGGAATACCGTCCACAACAACTCTCAGATAGATAAATCCTCACAGAATAAAGATGTGAGATTAAATTTAATTAGAAGTTAATTCAATCTTTCATTCTAAAATAATACGAAAGAATAAGAAAATTTTCCAGTTCAACGCCACGAAAAATTGACAAAAAGTCATAATCCATAATAATTATTTTATATATATGTTATAAAATCACAAAGAACGGTGCAATAATAATTTATACATGGCGTGGGAGATAGACTATTCAAAGATCAGAGGATTTAATTTTCATGATCAAAGTCAACAACGTCGGTTTGACCGAAAATTAATATTGTGGGGCTTCAGTCCATGTTTGAGGGGGGCAAATTAATTGAAAAATCATAGTACATATATTTAGGCAAGAATATTAAAAGTTTAAAACCGTACAACTACTGATTAATTGATATGTTAATTTAGTTATATTTTTATAGTATGGACACTTACATGAAGTTCGATGTAAAATATTAATTCTTAATATATTGTGGGTATTATAGAAATTTCTCTCCATACCCGATGTGATCAATCAAGATCACACCATGTCGGGGGGGGGGGGGGAGATCACACCATAAATATTTAAATATTTACTCAATTAATGCATGAAATATATATTAATAATATATATGTTTGTACTCGTTTATTCTTTTTTTTTTTTTTGCCAACGCTTGTACTCGTTTATTCATTATTAACTTTCTTATCAAGTAAGGATATTTAGAAGCATGAAGAAAAAAGAGAAACCGAAAACACAAGCATTATCAAAGAAGTTTAAATGGTTTCATCGTTGCAAGAAAAGAAAATCTAGGAAATGAAGGGGAGAGGAGGGGAGGATAGGAAAATTTTTAATGTATATAATTTAAAAAATTGAAGAGATGAAGTTAAAAGTTTTTAATTAATTTTTCTTTTTAATTAATTTTTCTTATTCTTTTATCTTACATATTCTTTTTATTAAAATTTTATCACTTCATTTTTCCAATTTTTCAAATTGAACTCATTAATATTGTCTTTCCTCTCTCATTTCTTTCATTTTTCTCGTACCAAAATACGGAGTAAAATAATGGGAGGCAGGATAAGATAGTTGGTTGGGTTCAATTTAAATAACTTAGTTAATAATTTTATTTATCCATAAGGTTTAAATTCTCAATTTTGCCTCCAGGTTCCAGTTTTAAAGTTGCGGTAATAAATAATTGGATTGTTATAATTTTTAGTCTTATAAGTTTACTCCTATTTTGATTTTAATTTTTCAAGTTTCAAATTACAGGTTTCTGTCCCTCAAGCTTATTTCCGTTTAAAACATTAGTCCCTGTAATTTAATAAAAACCTAGATCATTTTACCTTTTGAATAATCAAAACTTATGATTTGAAATTTGAAGAACCAAAAACAAAATAAAAACAAACATGATGAACTAAAAATTATATTAATCCTAAATAATTTTGACCAAATCATATGGACATACCCTATTAATATATACAAATCTTATTATTTAGTTCAAAACCACTGCTTTGGACTTGCCAAAATTTTTGGAGAACCACTTTTGAAATTAGAAAGTATAATTCATGCCTTCTAAGTCATGAAGCATTTTATGAACCATTTTTATTGATATCATCATCACAGTCGTCACCTTCGTCTCATAACGTTATTGCCATTTATCATCTTTGTCGTTCTTATCATATCTATAGTTGTGATTAGTGCTTCATTTTTCTCTTCGTCATAATTATCATATAGACACTTCACCCACCTAGCTTGTTTCTAGAAAATTTTGGGACTTTTAGGAAATATTATTGAAGAAATATGATGTAATATGGTTCATCACTACTTGCATTTGTATGAATTTTTTTTTATAGTTTTCTGACTTCCAAAATATTTATGAAAATTTTTTCATTGAGTAATTTTAATATTTTACCCTCAATAAGAATATATTTCATTATTTTGATATAACAAAGTTGATCGTATGAGAAAGACAGGCGATCTTATATAAAATTTAAATAATCTAAAATTATAAGAATTGTTTTAGCTATGGTGAATGGGCACAATTATGGATACTGTCAAATGTAAATAACAATTTGAGCAATGTGAATTTGTAATAAAAAAAAACAATATGAATTTTTATTTATTTTAATATTTCTATTAGAATATCAATTTCTTTTGTAAACACTTCTCTTAATAGTTTCAATTCCAAAAATAAATTAAGATTTCAATATCAGAATATTCAATGAAATTTGTAAAAAAATTTAGGATTTATATTATATTTTCTAATTTATTTTTATCCAAAGTTTCAAATTCACATGATAGGGTCGAAAAGGAAAGAAAGTAAGGGTCTGTTTGGCATGAGTGAAATGGAGGGAAGGGGAGGGAAGAGAAAATTTTAACAAGCTTGATTTGAAAAATTGAAGAGGGGGATTGAAAGCTTTTAACTAATTTTTATTATCCTTTTATTTTACGTCTTATCTTTATCAAAAATTTAATACTTCACTTCTCCAATTTTTAAAATGAAAGTCATTAAAATTTTTCCTTCCCTCCCCTCTATGTCCCTCATACCAAACAAAAGGTAAAAAAATTTGTTCATATTTTAAAATTTGCTCGTATTATCTCTTAAAAAAAAAAAGATTGATCAATAAGTCCATAATTATGCCATCCACAATTCTCCAGAGTCTTCCACTTTTACAGGAAGTGTGGGCTAAATGGTAAGTGGACTTGAAGTGGAGCCCCTGTTTTGTTTGGAAGTTTATGTTTCCCAGGATTGATTTTTGAAATTTTTTTTTTTGGTTACATTGATTTTTGAAAATTGGGACTCAATAAATGGACTTTTAGACTTGATCTTGTAAGGCTTTGAAAAATGGGTTAGCATTGTGCCTCGAATTACTCGTTTAAGTCTTTTTTAAATTCAAATTCTTAACAGATCTACTCAAGAGTCAGGTATTTTATTTTTGAACGATGAAAATGAGAATTAAAGAATATTTAATTTTATACCTGAAATATGAATTCCAAAATAATTTATGTCTTTTCTTTTGAGATGAGTGTTTGTATTATGTAGTTTGGAGTTTAATTTGCTTATTTAAATATTTAATTTTTTTTTATTAAGCAGATGTGTTTTCTTATTGAAAGCTGGCTCGAGATACTATTAGCATTATGCACTATATGTGAACACCTTTGATTCTAACATTAAAACATTTAATATTATGGTAATGAGAAATTTTATTTTAAAAAAGGTTGTTTGGGTATTAGGATCGGACTTGACGGTCAATTAGGCTAGGCCTAAAAAGTTCAAATTTAAGATGAAATGACTCATTGGCTAAGTCTATAAGGATAAGAGCAACCCGTTTTGCCGGCTTTAGGCTTAAAGCATGTTTCGTCATAATTAGTTGTGAATTTACCCATTTTATTAACGTAAATTTTGTTGTTGGCTTAAAAATTAATGTAAATTTTGTATTTTACATTAACGTGAATGTTGGTTTAATTAACTAAAATATGATTTTTTTTATTAGATTTCATATGCAATAATATTAACTACTATCTCCGGTCATTAATATAAAACCCTGTTTCATTTTTATTTTTTTCCTAAATATAAGACCCCAATCTACTTTGTCTTTCATATTTATATATATTTTTTTTAAAATGACCATCCTAACAATGATAGTTTTAGTCAATATACTTGATTATTAAAGATATTTTAGGAAAGATAACATCTATTTAGGATAAATAACTAATTCAACTTACTTTTTTAATCTCATCAAATTAGTCAACTGGCTCTTATAATTAGGACCGGAAGTAGTATATCTTAGTCAACCAATCATTTATAAAGTTTATCTGCATAAAAAAAGAAAAAGAAGTAATGAAAGCACCGCCCGCTGCAATCACTTTGACATTTCCCTTGATCCATGAATACTATCAAATTTTTTTTTTATAAATACTATCATTATGCATTCATTCAAAATACTTGACCCTCAAATAATGATCTAAATTACTCTCAATGACCAAAAAATTGATTTATTAAAACAATTATATGAATGACGCGTGTTATTCAAAAATTAGTCTCCATGATGTTCAACCTATACGTGTTATTCAAACTTTGAACATTCAATTTATGTTGTATTATTATAGATGGACACCAGAGCACAATTTCATTTAGTCGTAGCCTCTAATCCTCATCATTTCTTTTTTAAAAATTAGGTAACGAGGAAAAGGCCGCCTTTTATTATTAATATAATCATATACTACTATCATATAATTAGATACAGAATATGCTTAATTAATTATATATTTTAAGTCGGTTTTCACATGACAATGATATGCTCTTTAATATAAGACCTATTTAACTAATGTGATTAAATTAAGAAAGTTAGGTAAGTTAGTTAATTATAAGAAATCAGACATGTTTTTAATTTCCTAAAACACCATAATCATTTTTCTTAATATCCTCCCTCTTTACTTACTTCATTATGATTGAGGGAGTATCCATAG